GGGCGACCGGGCCCCGCGGGGCGGGCGAGGACGGGGGAGCTGCCAGGCCCTGCCGGGCACCCCTGCCCCCAGCGCATCTCCCACCCTGCCCCACGCCCTAGCACATGCCTTGGCCCCGCAGGGCACCCCACGGCTGGGCAGGGTACGGGCGGGTTTGGGGGGCTCCACCGCCCCGCCGGCTCCTCCAAGGGGAAGAGGGCCAGGCATCGCGGCGGGTGGCACGTCTCCCCGGCAGCGCTTCAAGCCCCGTTTGCTGCCAGGACAACTGGAGCAATTATCCGGACGCAGGCCCCGCGGCGTGGCGATGGGGGGGCCGGGCTGAGCCGGGGGCTTTCGGTGCCCCGGCCTGGGTACGAGCCAAGCCGGGGAGCTCCTGGCCCGCTTCCCCACCGTGCAGGATGCCTGTGGCCATGGCTGGGGAAGGGGAAATCAAAGGGGAGACAAGACACCCCTTGTTGCTGCCCCTGATGCTGAAGACCTGGGTGCTGGGGGGCTCCCGGGTGCTGCAAGCGGGTGCCCCCAGCTGCAGGGCCAGGCCTCGGCCTCTCCGCGGGTCCGCAACGCCGGGCTGCAGTGCCGCGGGCTCCCGGGCTGGTACAGCGACGAAACAGCCTGCGATTGCCGCCGAGGGGGGTGGGTTGAGCTCTGCTGGCTCGGCCGCCCACCTCTCCGCCGTGCAGGCAGGGCCACGTGCCCACGGCCCGGCTGGCACGGGAGCCAGGCCTGGGCACCCCCCGCGGGGAGACTTCCCGGCGGAGCAGCAGCTGGTGCAATGTGGGGGAAGCACCTGCTTGGCCCCACCGCTGGCAGGGGCGCGGGGAGATGCGGTGTCACAGCAGGGTGTGGGCAGGGGTGCGGGCAGTGCCCCAGGGCTCGTGGAGCAGCCGCAGCTGGGCACGACATGGGAGTCATGCGTGCACGTGGGAATGAGGTGGATGCACGGCTGTGACTGAGTGCTGGGCGCGTGTGCGCGTGTGACTTATTGCAGGGGTCTGCATACATGTGTGTAAGCATGCACAGCCAGTCACATGTGTGTGTATGTGTGTGCATGCAACTGAATGTCAGGTACGCCTGTGCACGTCAGTGATTGCAGAGGGGGTTGTGCGCGTGTGTGCCTCTGTGAGTGATTGCAATGGCGGGTGGGTGGGTGTGTGCGTGTGCACAAGTAACTGAATGCTCGGTATGTGTGCATGTGAGTGATTGCAAGGGGTCCATGTGTGTGTGTGTGTGTTGATGTGTGTGAGTGTTGGGGGGGTGCATGGTAATGACTGCAGGGGTATGTGTGCGTGTACTCGTGAATACTTGCAGAGGTCTGCATGTGTGTGCGCACGTGTGACTGCCGGGGGGTGTGTGTGTGGCACGTGAATTATTGCAGGGGTGCACGTGTGCATGCATGCAACGGAGGGCTGGGTGCACATGTACAGGATTGCAAAGGGGTCGGTGTGCATGTGCGCGTGCACATGTCACCAAGCGCCATGTGTGTATGCATGGATACATGTGAATGAGTGCAGGGGGCGCGTGTGTGAGACAGTGCCGGGTGTGTGGGCACATGTGAATGGAGACAGGTGCGTGTGAGAGAGACGGAAACAGCGGATGTGTCACAGTGCCGGGTTTGGGGCTGTGACTGCGCGCAGGGCGTGGGTGTAGTGAGTGCTAGTCTGTGTGTGCATGTGTGTCGGGGAGCCGCGTGCACATGTTCGTCACCACGTGCAGGGGGAACGCGTGTGCGGGGCCCCGGCCTGGGAGCTTCCCACGGGCAGGACCAGCCCCGGCCCAGGACAGGCTCTCGGGGGCCCTGCCCTGACGCCGAGGCCAGCTGGGCGCACGCACCGGTCCTCCCCTCCCTGCCGGGGCACAGCTGGCCGCAGCCTCCTCTGTGCCCAGGGCTTTGCCTGCCCTTGTGCCAGGCACGGTCCCCCGGGAGAGCCGTCCCTGCGCAGTCAGCACCGCCGAGGCCCGCAGGCGGCACGGACTCTGCCGCTGGCCACGTGTCCGCTCCTCCACCCGGGATGCCCAGGCTGGCTGGGGGCCGGAGAGCTGACGGATGCTGCAGCAGGAGGCACTGGCCGGGAGCACTGCCCCGCCGCCCGGGCACAGGCACCACCCCACGCAACCCCAAGCCACGGCTCAGCTGGCCAAATGGCACGCGTGCCCCCGGGCACCCCTGCCTGCTCTCCTCCCGCACGGCCAGGGAGCGGGGAAGGCGGCCGTGCCCCTGGACGCGAAGGGGCAGCTGCTACGAAGCCTCTTGCAAAGGGCTGGCACCTCCAAGGCAACGTGCCCGTGTTAGATACCCCTGCCGCCCCGCGCCGGCAGTGCTGGGACGTGATCCCACCTCTTACAAAGTGTGCGGGGGGGCCTGGAGCCCGGGCAGCTCTTCTGCAACACCCTGGCAGCGGGGCGGGGGCAGCTCCGGAAGCCTTGGACAGGCGGGGTGCAGCAGGATGGCGCAGGCACCCCATCCGGGACCAGCCCAGGAGCCCCCATGTGCCTGGCAGGACCCACCTCCAGCCTCACCTGGGACGAGCTAGATGGAGCAAGTGCCCGTCTCCCAGGGCCCAGCCCCACAGCCGGGGTCCCACCAGGGCTGGGTACCGTCCGCGGGCACGGAGAGCCCCCCGTGCTCCCGGCTGGATGTCCTGCAGGGCACGGGGTGGTGCTGACCCTTGCTTTGCCCTGCTCCGCACCTGCCTGGTGATGTCCTCTTCCCCGCTGCTGCAGGA